AGAGTTCATGTTAAAGTATAGAAAATGTGTTGATTAGACAAAATTTTAAGTTCTTCCTTACTTATTGGTTCAGGTTTTAAAGTCTTTGAGGGTTCAATACAACATTTAGCAATGTTTRTATTGATTAAATCCTAACAAATAAGAAAATAATAAAAACAAATTAGCATATAAACACACAAAATGAGTATATTAGTTTAATAGTGCCTATTTTATAATTATAATGTCAAAAAAATAAATAATAAAAAAGTATTTTACAATACATAGTACAAAACTGCTTGGCGATTAGGTGAGGCGAGCCTCAAAGGGTGCCTTGTCGCCTAGGCGTCGCCTTGACAACTATGTTGAAGATGAAGATAGGAAGATATTAGATCTGATGTTATTCTCATATAAGTTTGGAAGTGCATGGCTGGGATGGGCATATTATAGCTAAGTTGTTTAATATGCTTATATAGACAGAAAATTCTTGATGAATGAATAAAAGTATAACTCTTCCTGCATATAAGAATAGATGTGATATCCGAAATTGCAATACTAGAGGGATTAATCCTATGAAACATACCATGGAACGTTTAGAGTTGATGAGAGTGACTACTAGTATATGTAGCTAGTGTATTAGCCAATTTTGCTTCATGTCCTTTTTGGTTTTCCCCTATCTCTTCTAGCCCCTTCAACTTGTAACAGATCACTTTTTCTCGTTCATGTGCCCTAACCACATTACTATACTTCCCCTCATTTAACTACTTGTTGGAGCTACTCTTATGTTTCTTCAAGTAAGTTCATTTTTTATTCTAACCTTTCTAGTTTCCCATTCATCCATCTCAACATTCAATTTTCTGCCTCATTTTTTTTTGACATGTTATTTCTTGATTGCCCAACACTTTGTTCCATACAACAATGCTGGCCTTATAATTGTTATAAAACTTTCCCTTAGCCTAAGTGGTATTTTTCTATCACATAAAACTCTGGATGCACCCCTTCACTTTGCCCATCCTGCTCTAATTCTATGAGCAACATTTCTCCTCAATTTGTCCCTTGTTATCGATTATTGAACCAAGGTAATGGAAAAGGTCATATTGAGATATCTCCTGGTCTTCAATTCTGTCTCTTGATTTCTACTCCTATTGTTATTAAATTTACTTCTCATATATTCTGGTTTTGTTCTACTTATTCTAATGCCTATTGTTTTTAAGGAATTTTCCCAAAAATCTAATTTTGCATTTAATCCTTATTTAGTTTTATCAATTAATACTATGTCATCAGAAAACAATATGCACCACGGAACCTCCTCCTAAATATGTTTAGTCAACTGGTCCATGATTAGTGCTTATAAATAAGGGCCAAGTGCTTGGTCTTGGTGAAGTTCCATTATAATTGGAAACTCCAATGTCCCTCCCATAGGCGTTCTAACATTGGCTGTTGCACTCTTATACATGTCCTTAATTAAATCCACATGCCTATTTGGTACTCTTTCCAATTTTCAAGGCCCATTATATCATATCTCTCTAGGAACTCTATCATTTGCTTTCTCTAGATCAATGAATATCATATGGAGGTTTTTCTTCTTCTCTATAAACTTTTCTATCAATTGTCTCAATGGGAGGATAGCTTCCATGGTTGATCTCCCTGGCATAAAGAGTTTTTTGAAGTTCAAACTCTGCAGTCTCCCCCTTGCTTATAACCCTTGCTGAATTACTCTCTTTCAAAGTAAAACTGATTTTTCCTAGTATCAAATAGATCTCTAATAAAAAGGAAAACAATCCCATGCCTAACTGTAGAGTTTAGTGGCTTTTCTTGATTGGACCCCGCACTTGTAAAACTGGCAACAAATAACTTGTTTGGGTGGACTTTCTTCCATTGTTGCAACCTTCTGACATGTGCCTGGGAATACAACTCAATGTATCCAAGAAAGTGGGTTTCCTGGACATGCTTTACATAAATAATATTTTTTAATATGACTCAGGCTGACAAACGTGAAAACAAAGGTTTGTGACCGAGTGGCCATTTTGTGCAAAAATGATAAACGTCAGTGTTGTGTTGGTGCCTTGATTTCTAGTTGCAATCTGCTTGGACTAAAGTTGAGAAAAAACCCGAAGGGAAAAATTTCGCAGTGGTCTGTGGCGGAAGCTGAGGTATGGACCCATGTAAATATTGGCTCTAAACCCAATGTGGACCTTGTTAGGGTTTGGTTCTCATATGCATCTCATTGTCTCTTGCACAGCAAGCTATCTTGTATCTTGTATCTTGTATCTTGAGAAGAAAGAAAAGCAAGTGCGGGAGTGTACTAGACAGTGAGTATGAGAAGGTGTTTCAGGTATATTGGGAGGTAGGGTTTGGTGAGAGAGGCTCTAAACATGTTATTGGTAATCTCTACTGCTTTATAGTGGATTTCTTCTCCTCTAATGCTTGTGGACGTAGGCTATAAGCCGAATGCCCGAACCATGTAAATCTCTGTGCTTTTTTTTGTATGTGTGTGTGTGTTTTGCTTCCTGTTTTTTCTCTTTTTTTTTGGGTCCTGGTTTTTTTGTTCCACAACAGTTAGGTCTATATCTGGTCCACCTTCCCGAGACCCCAGATGGCCGGGGAAAACATTGGATAATGGCCTTTTTTATATAGCAGCTTAAATGGTTTAACTATAATTTACAATGGACAAATTAATCTTATAGCAATTGCCTATTTTCCATTCAGCTACATTAGTTGTTTTTTCATTGTTTTCCTAATTCCAATATTAATTGGAAGAGATCCAATAAACAATGGGTCATGAGCTATGTGTAAGTGTAAATTGGTAAAATAGACATACTAGAGTGCTCTATTGGACAATTTAAATGGTTGGACCACTGTTACATCGAGATGTTTAAAGTGAGGATTTGCAATTTTGGATGATTGATGTGGTGGGCATTTTGGAAAATCTTCTTGATCTTCACAATAGCTGAGGTGAGCTGTGTTTTGAAGAGTTGGACACAAGTCAACTTGTGGACATGCCTTGACTTGTGAGTCTCCTCCAAATGTGGGTTGTCCATGCTACATTGACTCCAACATGTGTAGTGGTCTGGTTGTTGATATACCTGGGTTGTTGCCACTACAACAATTCACATTCTTTCTTTGACACTTGAGGGTCTGATTTGTTCTGGTTCTATTGTTATGCATCTGCATTTGCCTAATTAGTTAATAAAATGCTTAAACATATTGCCTTTTCCAATTATGATTTTCTTTTTGTTTTATATTAAATAGTTCTGTATTGCCTGAGGTTTTATTGCTGTCATAATAGTATAAAACAATGCAATAAAATTGTGCAGATTGTGGGAAACAGAGTTCAGATGGAAAGTCTCATCAATTCAATAATTTGAATGGTCCTCCATGTCAAATGCACACTAATCAATCAAGTAAAGCTTGTTTAAATCAGGTCTCATCATTACCACCACTGAGCCATCTTGATATGGGTGTTATAGAGAGTCTTCCTTCAGAAATCATTTCAGAAGTAAATGAAATGTATGGTGGGAAGTTGATTTATTTAATTGAAAAAGGTAAAGGCAAGGTTGACAGAGTAAGCAGTTCCATTTGTAGTACATCACGTGTAAAAGTTGAAGGTAACATTTCTCCTGTCTACCCATTCAGCATTGATGCTATACTATTTTTCAAGTGTATTTTAACATTGTAAGTTTATGAAATTCAGGTGTAAAAGACAAGGGTAAAAAACCTCTTTTTCCACATATGGTCTGCCAAGATGGCATTCCAACTGAAGACAAGGTTACCCTTTCAACTTTTTTGTTTTTTTGGTTTTTTGTTTTTTTTGGCTTTACATTATTGTATATGTGTTTATCCTTTTCTTTATTGTCACTGCTTTCTATGCCCTGTGATTAGGCATTTTGTCTATAATCCTCACGGCAGAAACTAAGTTGACCTCTCCCTTTTAGATTTCTGGTGCATTGGAGTGTGAAAGTAGCAAGTTACATTTACTTACTAATTGGGTTCATCTATAGATGGCTGATGACCTCAACAGTTGTTCTATATGGAGCATCATGTGGCCTGTCCAAACTGTTCATAAGGGACCTGGGCACATGTGTCTATCCTCACATTGTATTGGAGATTTGCTTGATTATTATTAGCCATCCATTGTTATTTTCATAACATTTTAAAATGCCTGCTAAGAAGGATCTATGGGCAAGGGTTTTTTGTGCCACATGGCAAGGTTGGGGGTGAAACTTACCCCATGAATAAAGATGATGATAAGAATACTTAGGATGCCTGAACTACATTGCCATATTGAAGATTCTTTGGTCATCTATACCTTTCTTGTAAGTGTTGTAACTTGTATATACTACGAAAACACCTTCTGATTCAAGGAAGCTAAGTAAGGCATGGGATTGAAACAGAAAGGAGAGACAACAAACACTATGAAATTACTCTTCATATATAGTATGCTTTTAAAAATTTCTAATTCTATAGTCTGGGAACAAACACTTAAACTGATAGTCTAACTCATGTAAAGTAAATTTTGTTTTTAAATAATTCCATAAATGTTAGCAGGAAGAAAAATCAAATTATATGGTAGTAGGAGAATTGAGTTGTAGTGGGAGCATCCTTCTCATGATAGTTAATATCTTTCTACCACTTTTTTTGATCAGCAATAAAGGTTGATTCATTAATTAAAAATATATGGGATTAAGTAGTCTGATGACCCAAATGTCATCTCCAAGAACTACAACTAAAGTTACAAAGATGCCCAATATAGATGCTACCTTGCAGCTCCTTGTTTGGCTAAAGTATCTGCTAACCCATTTTCACTCTTCCTGATCCACCTGAAATCAGCACTTATATCCTTTGCTAATCTTTTCACTTCCCTGAAAATATGTTTGAGGGTCCATGGGACATGTCTGTTACATCTTGCCCAAGATATAACAACTTTTGAATCCCCTTCCACATTCACCTGTTGAAAACCCAATTGCTTTGCCAATCGGGGCCTCGGTAGTGTTTTTGGCACGTTAACTTCCAATGTGTGGACTACTTTCAGCAATCTCTTGAACATTCCGTATATTCAGACCCAGTTCAGACCCAGTCAGTTTGTGCTAGGGTTCTGTTCTGACTTGCTCAAGGACAAAATTACAATAAACAGGTGAGAGAAATTGTTGCTGCATTACCCTCTTCATCATTTGGGGAATCTGGAGAGAAAGATGCCAATGCAAATATGAGGGTCGGTATCAAACAACTCAACATGCTCATTTTAAAGATCTTGAATTGGATTCAAGAAATCCGCAGGACTACTCCTAGACATGGTCCAAACTTCTTGGATCAAGTGACTCTTACAGCTTTAAATATTAAGGCCATTCCGGCCCGTTGTCCAAGAGCCTGCCTAGTTCTTTGGAGTTGTCCTAAAAGTGGCTGGGTAAAAGTAAATGTAGATGGAGCCTCAAGAGGCAATCCAAGAGTTTTGGGTGGTGGAGGTCATTTCCAGAGAAGATCACAGGCAATTTATGTTTGCCTTTGCGTCTCATTACGGTTATACAACCAACATTGTTGCTCAATGTAGAGCCATATGTGATGCTGTTTTCCATGCTAAATCTTTGGGCCTCTCACCTATCATCATAGAGTGACTCAAAAATGATGGTTGAGGTCCTTTTAGGTTTGTCCCCACCCCCTTGGACCATTCTCCCTTGGGTGGATGAAATCTCAGACATGACGACTAATATGCAGATTGATTTCTCTCACATCCTCAGAGAAGGAAATGCAGTGTATGATGGTTTGGCAAATGTGGCATGTGATAACTCTCAGAGTTTTCTTTTTGATTCCAAGAGTTCTCTTCCACATTCTGTTCCATTTTTATTGTTTGATGATGCCTTATTTCTTCCGAAACTTCATTGTAAATAGGTTTTGGGTTTTATTTTGAGTGTGGTGTGCATTTTGTATTGGGCTTGGGGCAAGGTGGGCTATGTCCTCCCCTGTAATTTTCTTTGCACATAGTGGTTTCATTAATAAAATTTTAAGGTAGCCACCCACCCCTCCATCTGGAGTAAATTTTGTGGATAAACAAATGTAGGGTGTTCCATACTTATGTAGGGGTTTAACAGTCTTTGTATAACTCTCACAAACATATAAACAAATCTGGTCGACTGAGAGTTGACCAGTGTAACAGGACATAATGGTTTCATTAATAAAATTTTTCTCATTCGTTCTTCTCTATTTCTTTCTCTCTTTCTCCTCTTTTTCTTCAAACCTAGGGCTGAAACCAGTATAACAGGACTGTTAACAAACTCTATGGGCTTGGTGGTGAATATAATATGGGATGTAAAGGAGCTGATATACTGAGTTATTTGTGGATTATTTTGGGCCATTAACTTGAAGCAAAAGGATAATATACACACACAAACATACAACGCATTAGTGTTATTTGATATATACTTATTATATTTGTACCTTTGTATGATACTGTTAGTTCTGGTAATAACCTGGCAGGAAAGGCCATATTACCATACTGCCATTAAGAATCTGATAGCCATGTTTGTATGACACTGTTGGTTCTGGATCAGCGATTCTTGCATACTCAATTTTATTAAGGTTTCTCAGAATTTTTACATTGACAGGTGGCACTTCATTATATTTTATGAATTGATGGTAACAAATGCTACTACTCAGGAAGCATCAGTGCTTTAGGCTGGCTTCTGATGCAGTTCTCATCTTGTTCTAATGCAGAAATCCTTGAATGTTGAACACTTACTACTGCCATTTTCTGATGTAGAAAAGCCAAGACAGGTTTATTTTAGTGTCCTTTACTCATATGGCCCTCATGCAGTAAGAAATTATTCTGTTTATCTCCAGTAGTTCATCATCCCTATAGTCCTCATATAGTGAGAAATTGATGATATTTTCAGGAAATGCAGTCACTACCCGCTACTACACCAGGATCCTCAAATTTGCAGCTTACAAATTCTTGTGAAGATCGAATTGATTTTATGCCTGCATCTTTAAGTCAAGTGGACATATCAGTTCTGCAGCAGTTACCTGAAGAAATAAAGGTCGACATACTAGAGGTTCTTCCTGCACACAGAACAGAATACTCCAGTGAAGCTACTGTAGGTTCCACAAAGGAATATCAACATGATACAGGAAGAGTAAAGAAAGGAGATAACCATATGGGAGATTTAGGTTTTGTTTCAAGGAATAATATTTGCATTGGAAATCCTCCAGAATGGGTAGAGAAATTCAAAGTCAGTAATTGCTGGATACTGAATATTTTTGTGGAAATGTACTGCAAATCTGGGCAAACTGGCCTCTTATCTTCAGTTCTGCAAAGTGTAATTTCTATGCCTTATCTACCTCTGGATGCAAGCTATGAGAATAGGGACAGAGCTATTTGTTGCTTGTGCGAGCTTCTTAAGCAATATATTGAACTAAATATAGAATCTGATATTGAGGAGATACATATTTGCTTTCGTCTTCTGAAAAGGTATCTACACTTTTAACATACAAACTCATTCTATGCTGCCTCTTCTCTATGCATTAATTTCTGTTTCCAACTTTGATCAATATTTGCTTCCAATTGTGAAATAGCATTGATACATCATCGTTGTCATCATCATCATCCAAGCCTTATCCCAACTATATGAGGTTGGCTATATGAATCCTGTTTTTCCATCCCATTCTGTTTAATGTCATATCTATTGTTAAATTTTTAGCACTTAATCATTTCTTACTACTTTGACCCATATCTTGAAGAAAATCTTAGTTGTGTGAACCAAAGAGAACTATTGTTAAATTATAAGGGATAATTTTAATAAGACTCTGTACAAGATGATCTTCATCCACAGGTCAATCCTTCTGAGAACTTGCTTGAGAAGTATGTGACACCTGAAACTAAAGAGATAAACATAAATGAGTTTTTCATTTGCAGAACCCCTACCATGAGATTGGGTATTTGGTAAATTAAAAATGTATTAAAAGGAAAAAAAGAACAGTACACAAGTTGTATACGGCAATTAAATCTTATTTACCCAAGAAGTCCAGAAATTGAGATAAGGCTGTTTGGTCATGTGGAAGTACTCAAGAGTCCAGAAGCTTTGACAAAAATGAGAAGCATTCGAAACAATCTGATTGTGGAGTTTGAATGGAAATTTGGAACCCATTTATTTAATACAACTCAATTGGAAGGATTAATGAGAGGTATGACAAATTGCTATTCTGGCTGCCAATGTGACAGAATTCTGTCTTAGCTCTGGGGTCAGCGAGGCCAATTGCAAACTTCCTTTTAAGTAAAAAACCCTAAAAATAGTGTTAGCAGGACACATCAAGATCAATGGGTCTAGCTGTGTGGAACTTGGATATTCTGCTACGTGGTACTTGATGTGGAACTTCATTGAATCTATTGATGATGTTCCAAGCTGAAGTCAACTGAAAATGATGGTACCTAGCACTCTTAGACAAGGTGTCATGAGAATGAACACATTGAATAATAAAGTATTGGTTTTATCTGTTGAAAGTTCATTATGGATTCAGATCATTAATATTAGTGGGAATGGATAAATGATTGGAATTTAGAAATTCTCTTGTCTGGCTCTTTCCTAATATCTCCTCAGAAAGTGCAAAGGGTGTGGCTTACTACAACATTTGATCATGATTCTCAATGAGGGTAGACAGCCAAGTCAGTTATCAACTCATGAGATCCTGATGGGGTCCTCTAATCCACCCTAAAGATAGAGAAGATCCCCAAATATCTCTTGCCATATTGCAATGGAGGACTGACAATTAGTTTTGATCTTTCTCCTCCAAAAACATAAAATGTTAGTTCTATGAAAGTTCCACTTCTTGAACAGAAAATGTTAGTTTATCTCAAAGAACCATTCAACCTAAAAGCTTAAGTTGTTAGGTGAGGTCCTTGAATAGGTTGATATTCTCTAACACGCCCCCTCACACGAAAGCCCATTGGGCTTGAAGCATGAACAAGCACAGGCCCACCCATACCTTGTGCTGAAACTTATTTAATTATAATGGGGGTAACGAGGATTGAACACTAGACCACTTAGTCAAAATGGCTCTGATACCATCTCAAAGAACCATTCAACCTAAAAGCTTAAGCTGTTAGGTGAGGCCCTTGGATAGGTTGATATTCTCTAACAGTTTAGACTCCCTCACTGGTTATAGGTATGGACTATTTTACTAGTGTATACTTTTTATGGGCGTGTCCATGTTTTTTCATCTTGCCATGTCATACTCCCAAGCACTTGTCAGATTCTGATTCTGGTATTTCTGTCCATGCAATACTTTTGTAAAAGTCATGGTTCATGTTTGTGATAATTGTTGCTGTTTAATTCAACATGCATATTAACCATGGAATTGGTTAATTATTTAGGTAGTAGTAAATTTGCAATATTATATTGGACAGTTATTTCACCCTAGTGCACAACCTTTTTGGTAAAAAAATTTGGTCTTAAGTTCTGGCTCTTGAAGTTAGGTTTGTTAAAATTCATGTTAATGTCTTCTTGTCTTGTAATCTCCCTATCAAAACGTTTAGTTGTGGGAAGTAGGAACTGTTCCTATCCTGGGGAGCCCAAAAATTAGGGAAGATTTTTTTTTTTCAATTCATTCTTTCATTCATGAAATATATGATTTTCCTTTTTGTATTGTTACATAGTGACTTTAAAGGAATTCTTTTAATATCATTATTATTGAAGACGAGAATAGTGGAAAATCTTTTGGTTGATAACCCTTCCTATTGAATATATATTCCAGAAGCTTAGTTGCTCATCATCTTTATGATGGGATGATGTAGCATAAGGTTTGTAAATTACTTGGATTTGAGGAATGTGTCCATGTTAGAAATAGTGCAATAACTGTAAAGTGTGCTGCAGAAAAGTTAGTGAGCTGCATAATGCATCTCAGTGCTTCATCATGACTATATTTAGTGCCCAACGTACTAATGAGGTTTTGACATTTGAGTTGTGCTGTAGAAAATAATATGCCAACTCTGTCATTCCATTTTTATAGATTGGCTGGAATTGAATATACACTCCCATGGTTGTGGCTCAGTCATTGAGCTGATAGAGTCTTGAGCCCTATTCCTTGGAACACAACTTCTGTTTCTAGCATTCAACTGTTCTAATTAAAGGTTGGTAAAATTGTTAGGTTGGGGACAAAGTCAAGGTTTTTTCTTCAGGTGTATGACCTTGTGTATCCTTATCTTCAGGTAAGCATATTTCTCTTAAGTTTTTTCTTGTTCAAAACTGCATTGATAGCTTACATGTACTTTGTTGATAACAGTCATGTTTTAGCTTGAAGCTTTCTTCAAGTACCATGTTTAGATATTACTTTGAATTTTGTTAAAAAAACTAATAACTAAGACTTTGGTTGATGACTTGATACAGGAGTTGATGGCTTTTCTCATCTGGTTTGTATAATGAATTGGCCATTCATTTATCTTGTTATAATGAATTTGTTAAACTAGACAATTATAATTTGTTGATGAATATGTACATATATACATATATACATGTTTTCATCCATGCAGATACATTCATTTTCTTTAAACCCCTAAGTTTTCTTTAATTAGGTAATTATCATTTGTTGCATATCATTAAAATTTTATTAATGATAAAAAAAGATTGCATTGGTTAGGAGTTGGGAGGGGTGCTTTGGACAGATATTGGTCATACCCAGAAAACCTGCCCAAAGTAGATCTTCTTTGAATAGGATGTTCAGTCTATGATGCAAAATCCATCAAACAAGTAGGTAAATTAACTTTTGGTATCTCAAATCTGTCTACTTATACATGAATTCAAGCTTCACCATGAAGGTCCATTATGCAGTGTTACTCTGATTCCAAGGTTCAAAGTATCAATACAATATGCCCCATATTGGGCATATTGTATTGGTTTTCAGGGCCACCAATATGCCTAAATAAAGGCTTTATGAGATTTCAAGCTTTTAAAATGCTAATATGTGACGTGACAGGTCACCTGTCAACTTTGAACCTTGTCCGAGTCTCCTATATGATCAAGGGACCCATACTTGACATTTGTTGGATTCCTACACAGCACAGGTTCTTTAGTGGATACTTTTACTTGAATCCATGTTTTCTCATCTTTCAAAGTCAAATTCCAGTATGTCTTAGAATTTGACCTTGTTTCCATGTCTCCCGTCCTTGCAATAGGTGCTTCAGTGTAAAAGATAACTTTCAAGAAGTTGACGGTCTGGTCCCTTTATTGCTAAATAAGACCTTGTTGCATTCTTGAAATTAATGAGATGTAGAGAAATTTTTGCAACCTAGTTTTTGATGTCTCTTCACTAGTATGAGGCATACCATGAAGGTTATCATTACCAGCAATTTGCGTTGCTGCATTGGATGAGTCACTACTAGTGATGGGAAACCATCCAATGTTGAGTTCCTTACTAGTATTTGAAACCATCTTATTTGCATTTCCATATATATGAGAATGTGCAAAGAGAAGCACATCATCAGAGTTCTTGGAACATCCGCAGCACAACTTTATAATGGGTTGATTATGTGTATATATATATATACCAATTGGTATCCGTTTCTTCATTGATGTGGTATAACTGTTTTGTTTACAAGAATAGGTAGTCCCAGGACCATCACAATGGCCCCTAGGCTGCTGCAGCTGCCTAAGATCCTGTCTTATGCATGGATAAAATCTTTCATTGCATATTGCCAGTCCAACAAAGTATACATGACTCTAGGAGATTTGGATATAGGATATCACACCCTAGAGAAAAGTATAGAGCAAATATACGCCATCCAAATAAAGTTTGGAGTTTAGATACTCACTGGTGCAAATTGTCCCTTGTAATCTAAACAGGCACTAACTTTGTTCTTCTATAGATTGTCATCTGAAATTTCTGGATCTGTCTCAATACCAGTGTTTTAAAAGCGCAAGGTGCAAAAAAGGAGCAGGGGTCAATTTGCGCAAGGTGCACACCTTTTTGAAGCAAGGCGCAAAAATAAAAAATGCTAAAAAGATTTTAGAAAAATAAAAAATGCCAAAAAATAAAAAAATATTAAACATAATATTAATAAAAATATAAACTTTAAATTTTAAAATAAAATTTTTAAAAAACCTATTATTTGAAATTAAAATACATAAACATAACATGTAAAGAATATTCAAATGTGAATTTAAAAATAAAATCAAACATATAAAACATTTTCAAGCATGTAAAACCCACAATCTCTTTTTTTCGTCAATTGCATTACTTAAAGTAGCTAATGTGATGTAAAACATATTACATTCCTGATTCTACGAGCTGCCTTTGTGCCACACCCCTTGAGGCAAGCCCAAACAAGTCCTAAATTCTTAGTTCTCACACAAAAAATAATGATTTTATAATTTTAATTGCTTTTTAAGAAGATATTTTAGTAAGATGGATGAATGAACAACATTACCAAATAGGGGGTTCTTGAAGCAAAAAAGTGACAAACTTTCAAAAGGTGCATGCCTGGGCTGAGGCGCAAGGCGCATCATGCATGTGCCTTTTGAAAGGGCTGTGCCTAGGACCTGGGCGAGACGCCTACCCTAAAATGCGCCTTGCCTGTGCGCCTAGGCATGCCTTTTAAATCAATGCTCAGTACTTGAAAACTTTACTTGTCTTAGAAATTGTGCTAAAATAATCTAGAATTTCTACTTATTCTTCTTGGAGCAATTTAATTATTGAATGTTTTTTTTTTTTGTCTCTGACATTTTGTTTCATCTATCTTCAGTAAGGTTTTTTTCTTTTCATATCTCAGTTTTAACAATTTTCTTAAATAGCCTCCATTCTAACAGTCTTTTTTGCTAAATTTCTTTCCTCTAGGCTTCTGTCAGTGAAAACTATGGGGGAAACTTGCATATTTGAAATACAAAGGAGTTCTGATATTAGATTGTCCTGTTCTTTGAAAAGGCTGGTTTTGTTCCCCAAGTAAGTTTTGCATACACATGATTAAAGAATTTTTGTTTATTCAACATCTTCAGTGTTTCTATGGTTTTATATCCATTCTCAAGGTTCTCATTTCACCTTTATTTTTGAAAGGTTTGGGTTACTTGTTTCCTTAAGGCTGTGTTTGTTAAGAGTGCAAACACTGAAGTGAAGTGAATTTGCACTCTAGTTCAATTTTGTAGGCATTTGGTAAGAATACATTTTTGTACTGAAAATGACAGTAAATTTATTTTTTCTGACATGTTTGCATTGAAAATGTAAGTCAAACTTTTGCACTCAAAGTTGGTTGATATAAAAGGTAGATTCCAATGTACCCATCACAACCAAATTTGTTTCTTAATAGTACACAATTTATCAATGCAAAAGCAAACCAAGTTTGCATTTTCATAAACCATACGTATTTTGCACTCTTACCAAATGCAACCTAGAGGGAAAATTTCCATTAGCTTCCTTGTTGTAGTGGCATAGTTTTCAAGGTGCCAAGGCGAGGCTGGGCGTCACGGGGGCACCTTGTCGCCTAGGCGATGGATTTTTTTTATATAGAAAACATAGATCCTAGGGTAGTTCCCTAGGTACCATAGCCATATTTCCTTAATAATTATTCATAAGAAAAGTATAGAGTTCATGTTAAAGTAGTAGAAAATGTGTTGATAAGAGTATTAGACAAAATTTTAAGTTCTTCCTTACTTATTGGTTCAGGTTTTAAAGTCTTTGAGGGTTCAATACAACATTTAGCAATGTTTGTATTGATTAAGTCCTAACAAATAAGAAAATAATAAAAAGAAATTAGTATATAAACACACAAAATGAATATTTTAGTTTAATAGTGCCTATTTTATAATTATAATGTAAAAAAATAGAGAATAAAAAAGAATTTTACAATCATAGTTTTCAAGGTGCCAAGGTGAGGCTAGGCGATTGGGGGGCACCTTGTCACCTAGTCACCTAGGCGGGTGCCTAGGCGTCGCCTATGCGATGGATTTTTTTATGTTAAAACATAGATCCTGGGGTAGTTCCCTAGGTACCATAACCATATTTCTTTAATAATTATTCATGATTTTCATAAGAAAAGTATAAATTGCATATTAAAGTATAGAAAATCAACATATTCATGAGACGAAAAGGTAGGAGGAAAATAAAATTCAAAAAATATAGGAGCTGAACCCTTATTTTTGTTATAGGAAAAGAAGAAAATAAAAAGTATTGGTAGTAGTAGAAGAAGAAGAAGAAGAAGAAGAAGAAGAAGAAGAAGAAGAAGAAGATATGGAAGAGGAAAATGTGCTGATTAGATCTTTCTTACTTATTGGTTCAGGTTTTTAAGTCTTTGAGGGTTTAATACAGCATTTAGCAATGTTTGTGTTGATTAAACCCTAATAAATAAGACAATAATAAAAAGAAACTAGTATATAAACACACAAAATGATTATTTTAGTTTAATAATGTCTATTTTTTAATTATAATCTCAAAAAAGAATGAATAAAAAAGTATTTTATAGTAGGAAGTAGAAAACCGCTTGGCGATTAGAGCCTCAAAGGGCGACTTGTTGCCTAGGCGTCGCCTTGACAACTATGTTTACAATACATAGTACAAAACTGCTTGGTGATGATTAGGCGAGGTGAGCCTCAAAGGGCGCCTTGTCGCCTAGGTGTCGCCTTGACAACTATGTGTAGTGGTTGACTCTATGCTTAGTTGGTGTTTGAAAATGGCTTGGCTTAGAATAGAAGCACAACTAAGAAATATCCAAATGTTCTAACTTGTACAAATGGTTTTTATGTCTGATAGTTGGCCCAATCAGGTTCTCTAAATTTGCACTACCTGTCTTTCAGTGCATTGCATAGTTTTCATGGTGCCAAGGCGAGGCTAGGCGATAGGATGCGCCTTGTCGCCTAGTCGCCTAGAGTAGTTCCCTAGGTTCCATAACCATATTTCCTTAATAATTATCCATACTTTTCCACAAGAAAAGTATAAACTTCATGTTAAAGTCTAGAAAATCAACATATTCATGAGAAGTAAAAGAAGAAAGAAAAGAAAATTCAAAAAATATAGGGGCTGAACCCCTATTTTTATAGAAAAAGAAGAAAATGTGTTGATTAGATAAAATTTTAAGTTTTTCCTTACTTATTGGTTCTGGTTTTGAAGTCTTTGAGGGTTCAATACAGCAGTTAGCAATGTTTGTGTTGATTAGTCCCTAACAAATTTGAAAATAATAAAAAGAAATTAGTATATAAACACACAATTATTATTTTGGTTTAACAATGTCTATTTATAATTATAATCTTAAAAAATTAAGAATATAATAGTATTTTATAACATAGTATACAAAACTGCTTGGTGATTAGGTGAGGCAAGCCTCCAAGGGCGCCTTGTTGCCTTGACAATATGGTGCATTGTACAGCTATAAGAAAGCTAAAAAATGTGGTCATATATACTATAAGAAAAGATCCCCATTTAATGCTTGCATTGTTGTCTTTTGTATCTTTTTTTTTTTCATTCAAAAGGAACTATGGATCTTACGGGTTAAATATAATGATCATGACCATCTTCTAAACCTTGTCCCAACTATATGGGGTACATGGATCTTGTTTCACTATTTTGTTCTGTTCAGTGACATATCCATTGTTAAATTATGTGACCTTAAATAATTTCTTGCTATGTAAGTTCATGTCCTATTTGGTATGCCTTTAGTTCTTCTAGCCCCTTCAACTCCTAACAAATCACATTCTTTCCCTCATTTTATCACCTTTTGGGGATACTCCCAGGTTCCTTAGTAGAAGTTCATTTTTTGAGGTTTCTAGTTTTCCCATTCATCTATCTGAACATTCTCATTCTGCCACACTTATTTTTGGACATGTTGTTTCTTATTTTCCCAACACTTTGCTCTATATAATATTGTTGCCCCCATAACAATTTTATAAATTTTTTCTTTTAGCCCAAGTGGTATTTGCCTATCAAGGAAGACTCCGCTTGCACCTCTTCATTTTGCCCATCTTGCTCTAATAATATAAGGCATATCCTCAATCTCTCCCTTGTTATGTATTATCAAACCAAGGTGACGGAAGAGATCACATTGAGTTATCTCTTGGTCTCCAATCCTAAGTATGCTCTAATTTGCAATTCTATTATTATTGAAATTACATTGCATATATTCTGTTTTAAGGGTGAAATATTAAGTTTTAATTAGTATTAAGATGCTGGCAGGGTGAGGTACAGTGCCACTGATAAGTAATTATCAAATTGTTTTCCTTTAAGATCAGCACAGGGGCAGATGCAGTCAGCACAGCGCCCAGTCAATTACTGGTTGATTTGATTATGTCTTTGCATTTGATGGACAAACGACAAAGAACATGTAAGTTTTCCATATCTTTTCTGCCCAATGCCATAATGAGGCTACATTTGTGGGATATGTGGTATCTATTGACACTGTTAAAATGTGTTTGGTTAAAGACCAATTGTAGTTATATATGGAAAGTTTGTCGTGACTTTAGTTTCAAAATGCAATGTAGGGTTTCCAAGTATTGGTTTTGAAACCATTGATATGTTTGATTTTTTGAATGTTTTTTATTTGAAACACCCGTGGAAATTAAGTGGCAAGTATCCTCACTTATTCAATGCTTGCCTACACAATTATGGATGTCCATGGTTGAAACTGACTGGCTGGGTATTAGTCCTGGTCCACTGTGGATTGTGCTGCATATTTATTAGACTGGATGGGATGGGCATCAGTTCCAGCCTCATTTTCAACAATCCATGTTTTTTATTTGCTTGTTAGTTAACTTTACACAATACTTATCTATGGTGAAATTGTGTTCTTTAGGTGTAGTTACATATTCTCATATCTGTGAATGTATTGTGAAAACTTATTTCCATGTTAAGGTAAAAATTTCATGCACTTGTGATATTGTTATTTAGCAATTGAAATAATGAAATTTGTACAAGCCTACAAGGTCCACATGCCTGTGCTTCATCTGTTGGTCCATTGACCTCGCCCAGGCCAAATTTGAAGGCCTATTTGTCAAAAAATCTGGATCCAACTTGGCATGGCCAACCTGTTATTACTATATGTAGGATTATATGGTGAAATGGTTGGAAACCTTGAGAGCACCATTTAAGAATTTAATATTGTTTTGCATTTATGCATTGTTGCACAGTTGCACAGTTGAACTTCTCATATGCAAGATCAACATGATATGGTAATGAATGGTCTGTAGTGGTTTTTAACCCTGTCATCTGCCGAAGAGCCAAATCTTCTGTATTTCACATAACAATCTCCCATGGTACCACTACCATTCTTCTGTGTGTGTGTGTGTGTGAAATACAGATAATTTGGGTTATCTGTACTGGTCTTCTTGCTTCCAACATTAGTAAGTTTTCAATTTATCTATGTTGTGTAACCTAATTTGGAACCTTTTCTGGTTGCTTTTAACAGATAATTTATTATAAGATACTTGTGATGAGAACTGATTACTCTTTGCTAAAGGTCCTGCAATTCAGAAGTAACAACTGTAAAATTGAATTTGTAGGTCGTGGGAAATCCCAAGTGACTTTGGAACATCAATGGAAATTTGACCTCTGGGGGAAGCATCTAATTGCATCTATTCATTACCTCTATGGGAGAAATGAAGTAACATATCCAATACATTTTTGCGGTGGTAAGTTTTCCTTCTTGGGAATGAATAATAGAAATGGATTTTCACATTTGCTTTTTTTGAAAATCTTGCGTAGATGTGTACCTCCTTTTGATGTTTTAAACCTCAGTTTCAATGGTGGCAAGGGATAGATTTTTACTGCTACGCTTTTGTTTCTTTTCCTGATCATGTGTCATTTTCTCCTGAATTTTCAGTAATGCGTGTTGTATTGTTATCTATGTTACTATGATTTATGCCATAAATGAGCTGATCTGCTACTTATTTTCAGTGTCTTTTATTGGCTTGGCTTCACATTTCTCATTTATTTATGTTTTTCTCCAGTCCTCTTGCAGTCTAAGCTTGTATATAAACTGGCCTTGCATTTTGAAACTTCGATACCTGTGTTTATGCAAATGATGATGGATCTACAAATCTCACATGTACTGGACCCTGGACATGGTTGTAATACTTTATTGCTTTCCATGTGGACCCAGAAAAAGCTGAACCAGTGAAGCATATGGTTGGTGACTTATCAGCTAGTAATCTTGCGAGATGGAGGATGTGCAATTTGCTCTCTGTTTTTGCAGAGTACTTCAATCTCCAGTCAACTCACGACGTTCGTGCTGATGAACATATATCAAGTGGTATAGCAGAACCTAATGCAGATTTCATTTATACGTTGTGATGATTCATGCAAAGATGGATTGGGGACAGCAGCTTGGGTTATCCTGGATAGTCGGCGTTATTTTGTGCTGAAGCCTATGCTATCTCTAGTTTTGTATAATATGCAAAAAAGTTCTCTTTTGTGATAATCTCATAGCCATCGACTTCTTCAATTCGAAGCGGTCACTATGTTCATGGCAAAGCAGAGCAGTCCTGAAAGAAGTTCTTTGTTTTAAGTCATCATTATTGGATATTGATTTCCATTATGTACATTGTAAATGTAATACTTTGGCACACTGTTTTATCATATTGTTGTCGGGTGACTTGTGGCCTTCCACCTTTATTTCCATTAATCTGCTTAAGATGAAAACTAAGCTGTAATACTTGGTGAAAGAAGCTCGTATTAAATAATATGAAAATTGGCTGAAATATTGCCCAAAATGTTCTTAACAAAGCTGCTAGTGGAGATGAAGAAAGTGTGTTTCAGCCATTAATTATGGGAGAAACATTGATATTTTATTTTTGGATGACCCCATGGCTCCCTTACATTGAAGGTTTAAAAATAACGGGCCCTAAGCCCAAACCTGGTGTAGTTAATAAGGTTTCACACCTAATTGATGATGAAAATAGAAGTTGGAAATGGGAAATTATCAATGAACATCTCCCTTACCGTGTGATTGAGCACATCAACTCCCAACAAGCTTGTGTGGTTCCATGATAATAAATTGCTGAAACCTCCATTGAAGTTTCCTGATTGTTGCTGAAACTTCTCCTGAAGTTTGGTAATTGCAATCACCTTGCCTAAACTTTATTACACAGTTGCAAGTAGACCCTCTCCGTTAGAATCCTCTAACAAGAGACAAGAAAATGTCCAAAATACCCATGCAATTACTTTTTTACCAAAATATTTATTTCCAAATTTTCTCTTAGTATTGATCACTACCCTAAATCCTTCCGATCTCTTTTCCAAAATTGATTTATTTCCAAATTTACCCCTCATATCAATTGCTCAGAGGTAAAACTGCAACCTTAAACTCTTATTTTTTATTGTTCATAAAGTTCGTATTTTTTTTACATAGAAACTTACTTCAATAGTAACTATATGGGTATTTTGGACATTTTACGCCCCTTGTTAAAATAGAGGATTCTAATAGATGGTTTTACTTGCATCTATGTTAGAAAATTCAAGGGAGGTGATTGCAATTACCAGACTCTAGGGAGCTTTCATTAACCGTTAGAAACTTAAGGGGAGGTTTCAGCAATTTACCCTAAAAAAATGCAGATTTTTGGTCAATTCTGCCTACCATCTTATTAAGAATGAAGGAATCTGGATCTTCTTCTCACACCAACCTCACAGGACATTGCAGCAGTGCATTGGTAACATCACCCATGAATGATAACATGTAAAAATGGAAAATCTTGCCAATGTTTGGCAGTGAGTGCTGTTAGATTGTTGTGAGTAGCAGGTCCTGTTTCAGACTGAATCTAGTGATGTTTCTAGCTTGAACAATGCCAACATTCTAAAAATCTGGAGGACCTGGGTGATGAACATGGACAGGGGCAGAGCTAGGATTTTCTCTTGAGGGGGGGTCAAAATATAGTAAACCTGGATAAGGGGGACCAAAAGTTAATAAACATGGATAGGGGACCAAAATATTAAGTGAAGTTGAGATAGGTATTGTGGGGATTTTCAAGGGGTAGGGGGGAATGACCCCCCTCTGCCATCCCATGTCTCCGCCCCTGAACATAGAACCAAAAATCAAAATATTCATATGTCTGTGCGGCCGATGTTGCATCAATAGGATTACAGTAAAATCTCTCTTCTTGTATAGGCTAAAGAGGGGTGGTCCATGACCAGCCTTGTCTGGTCTGTACTCTTTTGAATGCAACCATTCCGGGTGCACAGTTTGGGGGGTTATTTAGGCCTGAGAATTAAACATTTAAATAAGATTGTCCCGTTTGCGACGCAAACTGATTGGCTGATTATTTAGTCATGAGAAATCAACTTGGTGCAAAGATCAGCGTTTTAGTATATTCTATCACCCTCTGGTCTATTGGAAGGCTGACTGTTTGTCTTCAATAATTTCTTATTTAGGTCATGCTTGGGAGTGTTTATTCAAAATAAGTGTTTATTTGGGCCATTATGTACTTATTGGTATTTGGGAAATAAGTCCAAAATAAGTGTTTATTTTAAAAATAAGGGCTTATTTTTTAAACCCAAATTTCCAGTTTTTTTTAAGTGCTTTTTTCTTTCAAAATTATTCCTATTTGAATTTTAAAATCACTTATAGAATTATCCCTAGTTGAATTTTATAAAAGTATTTTTATGAAAGCATTTTTATGAAAACGCTTTATAAAAGTATTTTTATAAAAATACTTTCACTTGAAAAAAAAACTGAATGCCAAATGCAAATAAGTATTTGTTCAAATAAGCACTTGTTTTTAAGTGCTTATTTTTAACATATATCCAAAACATGGCCTAAATCAAAAAGAAGTCAAATGGAACCCACCTACTCCTGCTAGTGAGTGGAGGTTGATGCCGATGCCAGCCATTTGTCAGATGACTGCATTTTTTAGTTGTATAGTGGTGTAAGGGCTATTTCCACTTTCCATGCACATCCGGTGATCGTGGAGAGCAACTTTTTTAACTTTGTTTTAGGTTTAAATTTCCAAGTCCATCATATTGAATGCTAATTAGAGAGAAGCATGGTTTATTTCCAAACATGCACATCTTGAAGCTCTAAGTTGAATCAGCTGCTGGGTTTGCTTTCCGCCACGTTCTTCGAAGCAATTTCTGTTGCTCGATCATCGTAGCTAGGGTGGCTCGTGTGGGTCTTTCTAGTGTTGGAGTCTTGTGTGAATTCCCCTCCAGCTTGGTTACTGGTTAGTACGTACCTCTTCTATCTGATGAGGCCATGGGGAAATAAACAATTAATCCTATCAGTCTCTCTGCGTTGTTAGTTTCAGTACGTCAATTTCTTTCTTTTCTTTCTTGTTTAGTTCTTCTTATTGTTCTGGTGATCGTATTGCTTTGAATGTGGTGCGGTGGTGCCTTTATTAATGGAATACTCTTTAGTCTTTACCAAAAAATAAAAAAATAATTACGAGTTGATTAATATTCCATCTCAACTCCCCACTGAGTTGGCTCAACAATAACATTAAGATTTTTATCCTACATAAAAAATGTAAAAAAAGCAGATGAAGAAACTTACTATAAAATCCTTTTCCTTATTTCTTTTTTGGGGGAGGGGGTGGTCAAATTTTAATCACTGCCACTGGGAACCGTTTATTAAAGATATTTCCAATGCACAGCTACAAGTGGCTGTGATCACAGTATTTATGAAACCGTGTTTCTCTCTTCATTCTTCTTGATACACTGTTTACCTTTTGACTTATCCTTTGTAGTTAGGTTAGGGTTAAGCAACTCTTTCACCCCTTCACTAGGGCTAGTTTGAAATGACTAATGTACAATATAAATATTTACTAAATAATAATATAAAATATATGAATGGATTTGCACTCTACAATTTGTACTCATTCAAACTTTCAATGACGTAAGGTGAGCACATTCAAAACTTTCTAAAAGTCGATCTTATGTTTTTTTCTGACACTTTAATTTCTTGTATTTTATATGAGGTCATTTCTATTATATGTACTCAAAACTTTATTAGTGAGAAACTACATGAATCTAATGAATACCATTACCAATTCCAGTTGATTAGTTATCATAGCTAGTCAGATTATAATACCAATGGTTCATACTCTTTTTTTTTTTTTTCATTTTTTGGTAGATTCATTCATAATTCTTGAAGGGATAATTTCTTTTCAACCATAATGTTAATATAAATAAAACATAAATGCAATTAATAAATCCCCTATACAGTCCATTTTTTTCCAAAATAATATGTACAGTATAAATACATACAAAATAATATAAAATACAAGGTTTTGTAATCTACAAATTTGTATTTTGTATTCCTTCCAAATTGAAGGAGTACAAATACAATTATGTACTGTGCAAATACATACAAAATACAAGATTTTGTATTCTACAAATTTATATTTGTACTCCTTCCAAACTAAGCCAAAAATGTAATTCCTCATGCTGAGTGTCTGCTTGGGAGGACTTTTACATAAAAAATTCGGATCTCATTCACACAATCTCCTTCCTTACACCCTCCTCACAGCTCTTACAACCGTGCACTAGAAATATCTTCCTATGAATAAAATAAACACAGGTGGGAAAATGAATTCAACCTGCATCTGAATAGCATATAAGCTATGTTTGGTGAAAACCCTAAAAAACCTAAAATAGCCATTTTACGGTAAAAAATAAGACTTCCCCATTGAAGCTTTTTTCAGTGGTTTCTCAAAGCTGGCTCGGTGAAAGTATCACAAACAAAGCCTCAGCCCTCTCAAACGGTCCCTAAATAAACGCGTGATTCGATCCCCACCACTATATTCATCAATCATTGGCCTAAAATTTGGGAAGTTCGCACATGTTTCTTAATTGCCTTAATTCTTGGTTAATGATGGTTAACACGTTAGTGCTCAGATGGTGATTAAAGAAATGATCATTTGGTGGATTTGGATTAACACGTAATGGTAAAATTTATAAACCTGCAGTGTACCTATTTGGAAAACCATGTTCATTGTTAAATGCTCTTTTATAAGGGAAAGAAAAGAATCGGAAAATTGATTATTTAATACGTTTATGTCCTTTTTGTCTTTTTTAGGAAAAAATGCCCGATAACCCCGTTAAGTGGTATTTGAAAAAGATACAAATGTCTATCAACTATCCAAATGTTGATAAAAAATTAATATTTGAATATTGAATTGTTGATTAGCCCCGTTAATTTTTTTGTCAATATTTGAATGGTTGATAAAGAAAATTAGACAACACTTGAAGGACATTTGTATCCTTTTCAAATGCCACAATTAACGGCTGATTAGCACATGTGCTAAATTGACACGTTTTAAAAATTGGGATACTGAATTGTTGTACTTGAAAATTTGGAGACCAAAATGGCACTAAGCCCAGAGATGCCCGGCCCCTACACAACTTAACCGATACAGAAATCATCAGAAGCGGAGTGAGGAGTTTTTTCATAAGAGGGCCGATAACTATTAAACATAGATGGGGGAGCCAAAATATAAGTGGGATTATATAATAGGAATTGTGGGGATTTTTTAAGACCTAAAAATCAATTTCGATCGATGCTTCTCATTGTGGCGAGAAGGTCTATGCAATTGTGCATATTAGAGTACTGTATTAATTGTGAGAAACCAACTCGACCGACCAGATTGCAGATGTTAAACCGATGACCATTGAATA